ATCGAGTGTACAGAGAACATGCCCCGGGAAGTTTTCGATCTCATGAGCAAATTCCTCAAGCCCAACCCTAACGAACGGCTCACACCCATTCAAGCCCTCACCTCGCATCCCGCGTTGAGGCTACAGGTTCCGGGGGGAGAAGACGTGCGAGCTTCAGAAGAAGAATTGCCATTTAAACTACCAGAAGAAGAACCTGCAACACTATCGACGGCGTCAACCGCCTCTACAGACGAAGCAGGCAGACCAGCCAGTCTTTCCTCGAGTTATGTATACGTTAAGCCCGAAATGGTGGCTGGAAAGCGCAGCTTTGCGGAACAGGACGCGAGTTTCACTACCCCAAACAGCGACGGATACCGCTTCGTTGGCAGCTACACGCGGGATCCTAAACCCCTTGATCACAACCGGCAAGAGTCGTCAGCAAGCCCCTAAGTTTTGTGCAGCAACATGACGACTACAATGACAAGCAACAGCAATACCAACAAGCAGCAAAAATGAACCTGCTGTTTAAACCTGAATCCTGTGGGTGAGGGAAAAAAGGCGCCGTGTCAAAAATGAAACAACTCTCGAGCAACGACGTTGAGTGCGCAGCCGCCGTATGTTTTTTCTCCTCCGGCCTTTTGCCTCAAGTTTATACTTTTTGTTGCGGAGATAGTCCGCCATTGAATCCTCAAATCGTTTCATTTTAAAGTGATGCAAAGCATTTTGCTTTTCGGAGCCGCAGACGGTTGACGTCTGGGGAGCCAAAATGGCCAAAACAAACATTTATTTATTTTCGCGTGTTTATGCGCAAGGTCAGGAAAACAACCTTTTGATATTTTTTTAATATTTAAAGCAAGGGAAGCAAACAGCAGCTGTGAATACCGTCTTTCTCTTATCCTACAACAGAGGCAAAGTAACTTAATGCCGATGCTCTAGTTTCTAGTCTTAACGAAGTACCTCAGGTGCTACCCATACATCTTGCATATATATGTGCAACATCTACATTTTCCTATACGCATATTTTTAGTGTAGTTAAGAAGCTAATTCTACAAAATACACCCCAGAATTTCAGTCACATTTTTGCACCTGCGTGAAAACCTCAATAGCTCGGCCTACGCTGTAGACTCTAGAGGGTGGGTGTCGCATTGCCTGTATGAAGTTGATAGTATATGTACTTTTTTACTTGAACGTGCAGAACGCGCCCTCCGGTATCACTGTAGTTGTAACGGAAGAAGGACGTCGCCAGCACAAAGTTGCTGGTGTGTATCGGCCCCTGCTCAAAGTATTGAATCATAATATCCAGGGCCACTCATCTTTTGTTTCCTCCTCCTGAGCATGCAAGCTGAAGATAGACGCTCGTGCACGTGCGTAAATGCTCGCGATGACATGGCTGTTTCTCGCTAACAACTCAGCCGCGGTTTGTTCGTGGGAACCGTCAGAGTAGTCAGACTCTTCTATAGTCAAAAAATAAGGAACCTGAGCACTCGTACTTCATCATATCGGGTCTCAGACTGGCTACCGTGTAGTGATGAACTGTCCACGTTCAGGAGTTGCCTTTCGGAAACATTTACATTTATTTCAACTCTTTTGCAGGTCACAGCTATCGGTCCTTGCACCGCAGTGCCCAGGGTGCCTGCGGACTGGAGAGGTTGCTGTTAAAGCTGCTTTTTGAGAACAGTCGTTTGCAGCTCAGGACGCACAGGATTGAGAAACCTCGCCACACACAGCTACACACCACAATGTGCTCTCTCTCCGCACGAATGGCCCCCAGCACTGTGCTGCTGCACCCAGGGGGTAGCAGGAGACGTCAGATGCTTTCGTTTAACTTTCGTCTCAGGCGTTTGGCAGAATTGCACCCCACCACAGTGGCCGGCTAATGTCGAGAACTCCCGGTACAACAAGAGCGACGATCTGAGCAGCCTGCACGTCATAATAACTCTTGTTGTTTCAGAGAAACAAGTGAGTCTGAGTAATCGGCATCCTGCATGCAAAAAGCTCAGGCGTCTCTGTCAATAACCTATGCAGACAGCGGAAGCCTAGTGTGTATGTGTGTGAGAAGCTACATAAGGGGGTACAAGCTGTGCGTTTGAAATCGCTCGAGAAGAGGAGTTGTACTTCTTGCAAATTTGTTGTTATTTTCTTCTACAATAAACCAGGCGACAGAGAAGCTCAAGGCCTGCAGCAGCAACGGTGTTTATAAGCATTAAGGAACAATGCCTGCCCGCTGGGGGCGCTGGGGGCGCGAAACCGCGGGAGCAGAAGCTGTTGCAGATAGGCTTATCTTGCGCCGGTGCATTTCACTTTGTTTCTCAGAAAGTAATTGTTAAGCTTTACACCTAAAGTTCGAAATATAACCGGACAAGTACAAACGGATCGGGGCTCGGTTCGGCGGCATGCACAGCAGTGGAAGCGCAAGGACGACGAC